CCCCTACTTACAGTAACGTATCTAGCTATAGTATCCATCTACTTGAACGGCATGACGCGTATAGCACAATATTATCACGACGTTTTCCAACTATTTAATCGAAATCACCTTATAATATTATATATGGATCGATTTGGTATAAAATGCTGTACAACTTTTGCCCTTACAAAAACTTACAAATTTTGCAAAGGTAATGAGTAGGGGGGAAGAGGTTAAAAAATTTGATGTTTTTGAAAAAATTTAATATACTGTTTCAAAGAGCGTTAAATACTGTACAATTTTTGTAGGAGACATTTTTTCATATACCTTATATTTTAGGAAATATTCAATAAAAATGGAAGTCATTTTTTTTCAAGGGGCTGTTTCAACCCCTAAATTCAATATATGGCCGATAAAAAAAAATACGTGTCGACTACTTTTTGATGCTCTACAACATATCCAAAGCGCATCAAAATCGGGGGGAGACAGTTCCGCAACTTCCCTTGTTAGATATGGTTATAACTACTTGTAATTCCGAACGAAAACATCTGCGATATTACTATTAACAATGGGGTATGGATAATACTATTACTATTAATAATGGATATTACTGTTAACTAAAAATTAATAATCAATAAAATATCTTATTTTTCTCATTTTTTATCCATTTTTATATGCATTGACTTATGGCGCCATCTCTTTGAAGTGAAACTCTTTTGGACTGTTTTTTTTTTTAGAACAGTGTAGAGCGCCATCTTGATACTTATGTTACGGGTAATGTCCGCATAGTATGCAGTGTCGATATTGCCAGGGCCGTGTCAACATTGCATAACGCGACTGGGCAAAGCCCGTAGACATAGTTTATTAGCGAAAATGACCCGATTTGATGTGGGCAAATCCAATACTGCTTATCCAGCGGTGGCAATGTCAGCAATTATTATATTGCGAACATAGTTCGATTTCGAGTGGGTAATGTCGACACTGCTAAATCTATAGGCCTGTTCTTTGTAGTTGCACTGCTGAACTGGTGCAATATATTGAAGTGAAACAAATATACGTTTTCTCACTCTAACTTATTGCACTAGTTCAGTAGTGCAGCTACAAAGAACAGGCCTCATATAGACTAAACTGTGCTAGATGAATGGAACCTATAGTACTGTAGGTTTCTCAATTATTGATTATAGGGGAAACAACTCCAATGATGACCTTGATCTTAATATATGTTATCAAAGTCACTGCCCTGAATAACTTTCAAAACGTTTTAACTGGTGGTCATTGTTTAATAAAAAGTTACTAACAAAAAAGTTTTATAAACGGAACTTAGTTTTAGTACATAGTATACAATGAAATATGGTAAAAGGTACCTGTTCCTAGCCGTGCAACTGGGCTACGCCCCCCAGACTCGTTGTACTACGGTGGTTGGGGGTGGGGGGGGCCAAGTTTGTTGTACTTAAGCTAAAAAGTGAGAATTTCTCACAAAAGACTGACTCCCCCCCCCCCCCCCCGGGGGGGGGGGGGG